CTGCTTCCCCTTTGTCTTCCACCATAATTATAAGTTTCCTTACAATCACGAGAACTGTGAGTCAACTAAATCTCTTTCCTTTATACATTACCCAGGCTTGAGCAGTTCTTTATAGCAGTATGAGAATGGACGTGGTTTAAAGCAAGCTTGTCCAACCCGCAGCCCAAGGGTCACATGCAGCCTAGGACGGCTTTGAATGTGGCCCAACACAAATTTATAAACTTTCATAACACATTATGAGATTTTTTGTGATTTTTTTTTAGCTCGTGAGTTATCCTTAGTCTTAGTGTATTATATATGTGACCCAAGACAATTCTTCGTCTTCCAGTGGCCCAGGGAAGCCAAAAGATTGTACGCCCCTGGTTTGGAGTAAAGAAGAATTAAAGAACATGATAGCTATAGTACTTAGCATGTTTTCAATTACAAGTAAAATAATAACCCATCAAACTGTTTTCAGCAACAAAGATAATTTATGGGTTCTTATAACTTAAAACTTCAAGAGTATGTTGTATTTTAGGTGAGGCTCAATTCAGTGGCCTGGTTATTCTTTCTCTCTACTTTGCTTTCTATAATGTTGGCCAGAATTGGCTGCCACTCTCTCCTTCTTTGGGACAATTTAGCTGCTGTTTTACTCGCAGTCATCAGAGCTATGTGCTGCTTCTTTCATATCAAGCAAGTGTTAGAAAAACCTTCTTTCCCCAGAAGCTTGCTGGAAAAAAGAAGAATCTTCTTTCCCCTGACCCCAGGAAGTATCTCTTGTATCTCACTGGCTAGAGTTGTGACTTTTGCCAATTTCTGAACCAATTATAGTGGGCCATTCGGATAATGTACACAAAGTAGTGTAGCTAATCAAAAATCTACCTCTTGAGCAGAGATATTGTATCTGTCAGACTACTAGGAGAAACAGAATCAATAGGAAGTAGATAAATGCATATATATCACACATATATATATATATATATATATATATATATATGATATCTTATTACATGAAGAAATTTATTTCAAGGAGTTGACTCACCTGATTGCGGAGTCTGACATATGTGAAATCTGTAGGACAGTCCAGTAGGCTGGAAACTATCTGGTAGAAGCTGATGTCGTGGTCTTGAGGCAGAATTTTCTTCTTCCTCTGGGAAACTTCAGGGCTTTCAGCTGATTGGATGAGGCATATCTACATTATTAAGGATAATTGCCTTTAATTAAAGTCAGCTGATTGTAGATATTACACATATTTACAAAATACACATAAATTAGGGTCTGATTAAATAACTGGGCATGAAAGCTTAGCCAAGTTGATGTATAAACTATCATGGATATGATCAATCTTTCCCAAAATATTTAACTGAAATTATGAGTTCCTTTTGGAATTGACAGATTGGAAACTAAGGTAGCCAACAAATATCCTTTACAGTAGCTAACAGTACATGTATGAACAGCTGCTCTGGGAAATAGGTTTTCAACTTGCTTGACATAGGGGAATACTAGGGACAAAAGTTATAGAAGTAGTGATAAAATAGCTATCAAGTAAAAAAGAACTGTTTAACAAAACAGTAGTGAGTTCCTGTTACTGAAAATGTTCAAATGTGAACTAAGGACCGTGGTGTAACACCCCAGATTAAGGCCCAGTTATTATGTGTTCCTTAACTTTTGGGGAAAGTACTGTTTTACTTAAGTGGAGTTCACTAGAAAACAGGCATAATTTTATTTTACTCTTATATTAATATCAAATAGTACCTGAGATATTATGTCTGCCAGGATTCTCCAGAACAAGTAGTATGTACGCACACACACACTATGTATATATGTGTTTGTGCATATATATGTACTCTCCACATTTTATATGTGTGCATACATATATACACAACCACCTATATGTGTATATATATGTGTAAACATATATGTGTGTGTGTGTATATATATAGAGAGATAGAGACAATGCGTGTGTGTGTGTGTATGTGTGTGTATAAGGCATTTTATTTGTAAATATGTATTACATGTCTAGAAAAAGAATCCCAGGATTTTCCTCTGTGTGTTTTCTTCTTGCTTCATCATGGTCCATGAGGCCAGCTGAGGTTGTCATTACAATGGAACCAAACTGGCAGGATGGAAGCAGATTATTCTGCCATTTTTCTAGATCTTTGAGTTGTACATCAAATCTGTGGCTGATCACTCCACACTTGTTTAGTGATGAGGGATCACCTCACACTTGTTTAGCCTGCCTGTGAGGTTCACAACAATTTTCCCAGCATTATGATCATCAGTGATTTCAAATTCGCCAATGTAATCATGCTTCATCATCACAGTGAGAAACTGGACAATAACTTTGGAACTCAGCCTAATAAGAACCTGGTGTTTGCCTCTCTGTCTGGCATTGTTGATGCTCTTGAGAGCATCAGCCAGGACACCCATGTGCACCATTGTGGTGGTGTGGAAGGAGCTATAATTTGTGTTTTTAGTATATATAAAGAAATTAATTTTTCCTCAAATAGCCTAGCCACGAGTTCCTCTCCCCACTATATTCTTGCAGATAAAGTTACCTAGCCAAACAACCCTTTCTATCAAAGGGATCAGGCATAATTTTTGCTTATCCCTCATTAGCAGGTTCAATTCCTGCCAGCTCAAGGGATTATCCAAACAAACCAATCACATTCTTCTGGGAACTAGGGGGCAACCCAACCTCTTAAAATCTGCTTCTCACAGCCCCTGGTTTTCCACTCTCTTCCTGAGTGCAACCCCTATGTGACCCTGTATGGCAAGTAATGGCTTCTTCCCTTTGGCTGGGAGGGGAATATATGTGATTAATAAACTTTTGACTCAGAAGACTTGCATGCAGCCAACAAACCGTATGGAAAAAAACTCAACACCACTGATCATTAGAGAAATGCAAATCAAAACCACAAATGAGATACCACCGCACACCATTCAGAATGGCTATTATTTAAAAGTCAAAGAATAACAGATGCTGGCGAGGTTGCAGAGAAAAAGGAATGCTTATACACTGTTAGTGGAAGCGTAAATTAGTTCAACTATTGTGGAAGACAGTGTAATGATTCCTCAAAGACCTAAAGTCAGAAATACCATTCAACCCAGCAATCCCACCACTGGTATATACCCAAAGAAGTATAAATTGTTGTATTATAAAGACACATGTGCACATATGTTCATTGCAGCATTATTCACAATAACAAAACATGGAATCGACCTAAATGTCCATCAGTGGTAGGCTGGATAAAGAAATGTGGTACATCTACACCATGCAATACTAAGCAGCCATAAAACAGAATGAGAACATGTCCTTTGCAGGAACATGGATGGAGCTGTAGGCCATTATCCTTAGCAAACTAACGCAGGAACAGAAAACCAAATACCACATGCTCGTGGTTTTAAGTGAGAACTAAATGATGAACACACATGGACACATAGAGGGGAACAACACACACTGGGGCCTGCCAGAGTGGAGAGGGTGGGAGGAAGGAGAGGATCAGGAAAAATAATTAATGGATACTAGGCTTAATACCTGGATAATGAAATAACCTGTACAACAAACCCCCATGATACAAGTTTACCTATATAACAAACCTGCACATACACCCCGAACTTAAAAGTTAAATAAAATTAAAAAAATAAATAAAATAAAACAAACTTTTGTTTCTTCTGGCCAGTGTTGGGTCAAATGAAATCCTGTGTTTGCCCATCTTCACAGACTTAGAATTGGAAGCCCTCTCTCACCAATGGTATATACAGGAGGTAGTTAAAACAATGACTTTCCTTTCTGTCCACTCACCTAGCAGTGATGTTGGATTTGGGAAAAATTCAAATATCAGTTATGTGATAGTAATAATTGACTTGGGAGTTGCCTTTCAATAGCAGTATTCTGTTATTTCTGTGTTTCCAGTGCTAGTATTAGCATTTTTATTTTCCAAATAAGAACAGGGCAATTTGTTCATCATTCTGTTAGTGGCACCCATCAGAGTATTTTGTAAACTGTTTGTACGTCTTTTCCTCTCAGCTCAAAGCACAGAAAGTCATGCTTTATTAATCTTTATGTACACTCCAAATAACATCATGCCTGACCCATAGCAGATATTCAATTACTTTCTCCATCGGAATTTTATTAAAAAATTACTATTGAGCTGTGAAGTTCACCTTAAACAACATACATATAAGTAAATATCATCAATGTAAATTATCCAACACTGTTGAAATCCAAACTCACTCTACCCACCTTTAGACAGAAGGAATGACGTCTTGAGAGTATTGCCCAATTTTCTCTTCTCATTCACCTTCCAAAATGCATGCTAGTTGCCTTAAGGCTTCTAAAGAACCCTGAAGGCAGCATCTCACTTTGTGTAGGAAGAATTAGTATAGCTGCGAGGTGATCCCAACTCCTGCCTGTCTGTTGGTTCTGAATGCTCCATTCACTTGAGAATCCCTGCTGAGAGATAATCCCTTCTGCAAGAAGGCATTTATTTTAGTCACAGTTTCATTCCTCAAGTTTATAGCTGCATAGCACCATATTCTAAATTATAGGAAAAACATGGAGAAAGCTGAAATGATTGGTTTGAACATATTTGACATCTTTTTTATGATTTATATTATATTATTTACTGTATTTAAATTGGCTTACTTGTTATTTTTTTGATAGAATGACATATGCTTCTTTCTCTACCCATAGATGTAAGAATTTTTTAAGAAAATATGAAAGACCTGGTTTGACAAAGGAATTTTTCTAACTTATGAATATATTGTATCCCTTCACAAAGATACACAATAAATTGTGTTTATCAGCAGTAATAAAATTCCATTAAACTAGCTCTGGTGTTTGAGACCGAAGATGTATAGTTTCCATATCCATGTCTTTATATAACACTAAGCACTCGGTAAATATACATTAGTTAAATAATGTAATAATAGAATGTGCTCCCTTCCATTGATCATAGACTTTAGAAAGACTTTTATCTAACAGAAGTGTTTTCTCTATCTCCTGGGTTTACTCACAGTAAACAAATCCGAGCTGTGCTGGGCCAGTTCAGCCAGGCAGAAGCCTTATTAATGAAAGCTGGGGTGCAGCCAGGAACTTTTGATGGAGTTCTTATGGATCTTGGGTGTTCCTCCATGCAACTTGATACTCCTGAAAGAGGTTTTTCCCTTCGGAAAGATGGCCCCTTGGACATGAGAATGGATGGTGGCAGGTGAGTATTCATAAAGCACTTCTCACAACAAATAATCAATTTGTCAAAAACACTCTGAATTTATTTTTTTTAAGACTACCGAATTTCCATTACATGCCTACACCTAAAACTACCAATACATAGTAAACCAGTTTGTTTGATACTCATTATACACATCAGTATTTCTCTGGATTTAGGATTTTTAAAGAAAAACAATTACTGCCTTTACACAAAATAGTGAAGAGTATAACTTTCATACTGATTATCTTTTTTACTTATACAATATGGGTTTTAGAGTGTTAACCAATGTCAGTAAATATCACGATACTGCAATAACTATTTCATTTTTATTCATGCCCAACTATGCCTCTTGTGAGAAGCAAAAAGAACTATATATATTTAAGGCATCCTCTTTTAGAATACAAAAAAAAAAAAAAAAGGCAAGATCTTAGAGTCAGTAAGTGTGTTTTGTCCTGTCTTATACAATCACTTTGAACCTTCTCCAGAAAAACTGTAATTTATGATATGATATCAAACACAGTACTATAATAAGATATCCTCTATACTTCCTCTTCTTGGAAATACCAACATTTATTCTCCATTATTCAAATAGATTAAATAACACAAAAACAATCATATTCTAGGAAAGTATAGAAAAAATTATTTTCTTTCTTTCTTTCTTTCTTTTTTTTGAGACAGAGTCTCATTCTGTCACCCAGGCTGGAGTGCAGTGGCATGATCTCAACTCACTGCAACCTCCACCTCCCGAGTTTAAGCCATTCTCATGCCTCAGCCTCCTGAGTAGCTGGGATTACAGACATGTACCACTATGCCTGGCTAATCATTTTTGTATTAGTAGAGACGAATTTTCATCATATTGTCCAGGCTGGTCTCGAACTCCTGACTTCATGTGATCCACCTGCCTCAGCCTCCCAAAGTGCTGGGATTATAGGCATGAGCTACCATTACCGGCCAACAATTTCTTTATATTAATTGTCTAAATTAATGTTAAAAGCTTAGATTAGGACCTGTGTCTATTCTCAATACTGACCTAGGGAATGGACAGCCTATACCTGTAAAACTTAACTGTGGTTTTTCTCTCTCATATCATGCCCCACCACAAACTGCTTTGTTTTGTGGTAATTATTTACATATAGCCTTTTCCCCTATGTTGTGATACAACCTGTTAACTTGACTTGTGACCTATATTTGTTGGGACTCTGTTATTCCTAAATGTTATACCTTCTTTTGCACATGTTGTTGGAATTCACAGAATGAAGAATGTAATGATAAAAGAAAATAATAAAAATACTTTTAAAACAACTAACTAATAGTAAAAGTGAAATATAGTCTCATGTGTGGAGCTGGAGGTGGTTGTGCAGAGGTAATAAAACATCAAGCCAATTTCTGAAATACAATGAACCAAACTTCTAGTTACGAGTAGTAAATCCCATATTGTTAATTTAAAGACTTATCAGCAAATTTTAGTTTGTGAATCAGGGTCCCTGTGGTTTTCCCAAGAGTTTGAAAATAACGTTGACACTGAGAATTAAACTCTCAAATTAATACCTAATTGATGAAATTAGAATTGAGTAAATATATCTTAAAATGTTGAATGGCTTTCGGGTAGATGGTATAGACTGTAACTTAATCAAAGATTTTAACAGCTCTGAAGAAAGTATTTAACATTTGAAAAGGGGGAGTTGATTCACATGAATTCATTGAAGAAGAAAAGTCATAGATTCAAACACGTGCAATGCTAATCCAAGTGGTATATGTTTGCCTTGGCTAATCCAGGCCAAAAAAATATGGCCTGTTAGTTCCTGAAGGGAGATTATCCCTGTGATGAAGACAGATGCAAGAGGCTTCCTTAACCAGTTGTCATTTAACACTGGAGTCTTAAAAAACATAATTTATTCTTTGCTGATTCTAATTTCAACAGCAGCATTCAGATTATAGTAAGGTTTCTCATGTAGAAGCCATAGAAAGAAATTCATAGCTTCAAGAATTTGAGAGTCTAGTTCTGTTGGCAGTTATAGTCTTCACTAGAAGGTAATTAATTATCACTTGTGTTTATATTTTCTTTCTAAGTTTAGTCACTGTAAGTCAGTGAACTCTGGAGGACTGACAAGATCAAATCTATTAGTTGGGGGGCAGCTCTTGGATCTTGACTCGTTTACCACATGAATGCCTATTCTGAAGCTGCCTAGCAGCCTGCCAAACCTTCCAGTGTTGCACATTTTGCACTGTAGCACTATGGAGACTTCTACACCATCAATCATTGTTAATATAAGAGTAAAATAAAATTATGTGTATTGTCCAATTACTTGTTTAAAGTAAAATTATGTGTATGGAACAAAATGCTTTTTAATTTTCTTATTTAAAGATAGAAAAATATCATTAAAAACTGCTAAGTACATCTATACTCATCATAAAATTCTCTTGGTAAAGCTGGACTGTATCCCTTGGATAAATTTCTAAATTTCACGTCATTAACACAGTTCATTCAGATGCTCGCTGGTTTAAGCAGTTGAATTCACAAATAGGTCAGGTTTAGCAGGGATTTTGTCATTTAAGCCACAAATTATGCTTTGCAAATTTATGAATGGGGAAGATCTAAAGGACAGTGGCATGCATTGAGCATCTTTTATATTGTAGGCATTATATTTCTGTTTTGCAATTGCGTGCACCAATAATTATCCAAACCATTCTGTGAGTTAAGAATTGTTACTTTCATTTCACAGGTTAAAAATTGAGACTCTAATAGGTTAAAAATCTTACTCAATATGAGTAAAAAGGCCAGGATTCTAATCCAGATCAATTGAACTCCAAAAATCAGATCTTCATCCTGAAAGCTGAAGAAGCAAAGCCTACTGAGATAGAAATAGGGCTACCTTATAAGACGTTCATTGTTCTGTGAGTTTAATGGCAGACTGACATAAAAACAATTATTGTAAGCTATTTGGGAGGCTGAGGCAGGAGAATCGCTTGAACCCAGGAAGCGGAGGTTGCAATGAGCCAAGATCCACCATTGCACTCCAGCCTGAGCAACAAGAGCGAAACTCCGTCTCAAAAAAAAAAAAAAATCTGAAAAGCGAGCTATGGATGAAAAAAAGAGACAAAGAGACATCAGAAGAGATGAAAGTCATGACAAATCTAGGGACAAGCCAAAGACAGCAAAAAGATTTTCTCCTGGAGGCACTAGGCATGTTAACAATGTATATTTTAGTATTTTTAAGGAGAGTTTCAGGTGTTTCTTGGCAGCCCCACTCTGGTTGGACCCTCAGTTCTTAAAGCTACCATACCGTTGTTACTTACAGATCCTCACAGTATGTTACCAACAATCAATCCAACATATTAACTGTAAAAGCACTAACTGCACCATTAGCAAAGCTATTTTTCTAATATGTAAGGTCACAATTAGCTCATCACTTAGAATTCTTTGGCCCATTTCCCTAAGGTACACAGGAATGGTCTGAACAGAGTAAATGCTGTGTCTGACTATAATTTATTCTATTTGACCAGAGGTTGGTAATTTTTATTCCTCCTCCACCTAAAATTACTATCTAGGCTTATTCAATACTGCTTATTGATTACCTGGTTTTGTCATATTGTGACCTTTGTTATGGATGAATGACCAAATATTGTTAAACATTTGAATAATATGCATTATTGCCATTAAGGTTGTATGAGTTTTTGTGAGGGAAACTGACCAGCAGTATCTTTTGTTTAAATAGATTTTCTAAGTTTAATTTGTGTCTTCACAGGTAATCAGATATTTTACAGCCTCAGATTTAGTCAAGTTATTGAGATTTAGCCTTGTTTAAATATCATCTGCAAACCTTCTATCTTCTATACTGAAAAAAACATTCAGGCAGTAATTTAAATTTTGAACAACTTAAATTTAACCATTTTTCAGTGTTTTAGTTCAAGAAAAATACACAGGAACAATAAACATTTCTTTGTGAATTATAAGTTTAAGGTTATTATAATATTTTAACTTCCTGCTGCCTTGACCTTGATGAATGTTACAAACCATCACCATTTGCCATAATGATGGGTATTTGAAATAGAAAGTCTATTTCATTTGTTTAGTGTTTCAGTCTCTGACTTTAAAACCTCAGTTCTCCTAGACTATGTGTATATGTCTGACTTCATGTCTCAGTACTCTGAAGTTTCACCTCTTGTCAATGAAAACTGACGTCAGTGAACTAATTGGCTCTTCTTGTGCGTAGGTACCCTGACATGCCCACTGCTGCTGATGTTGTGAATGCTTTAGATCAACCGGCACTTGCATCTATCCTAAGAACATATGGGGAGGAGAAGCATGCCAAGAAAATCGCTTCAGCAATTGTTCAGGCACGCAGCATCTACCCCATCACCAGAACCCAGCAGCTTGCCAGCATCGTTGCAGGTAGCCTCATTAGTTCTCGACAGTGTCTAAGAGAAAAAATTATATTTACATGTGTGCATGTGTTTGTGTGTGTGCACTCATGCACATGTGTGTGTGCATTAATCCCCCAAACTCCCAGAGGGGTTCATTTGTACTTGAAATCATGCAGGATAGAATCTTGCCTGTCTTTCTTTAATGTCAGCTTTCTTTTGCTTGTGCAAGCTTCTCCCCTTCAAAACCTCTCCCCCAAATACAATTTTTTAAAAAGTATACTGTAGTTTACTAATTTGTATAATAGTAGATTTTTATTTTACACAAGATAATTTATCATTTGTGCCTACCAAGGTGAAACATGAAATGATGAGTGAAAGGATTTCTTGATCCATCACAATGGTTGATAAGCACCCTGTATAAGATCTGACATTACTTCTCTTAGTTTCACATTTCTGCATTTTAATATTGTGGGCAAAAGGAGAATTGCATTGCCCAAATGCTAAAATAAAATCCAGTTACTCATATATCTATTCCAAACAACCAACTAACAAAGGGTATATGATGTATAGGTTATTCCACTTTGTGAATGCTAACTAAATCAGCCTGAGGGGCTTATTGAAACATTTCATCTTTTCTGCTATTTCGCTATTCACCACCATAAACCTCTTGAACCTAACTCTAACTAGGAGGCGCTTTATTATAGCCTTTCTGTTTGAAGCCAAAGTTGTTTCACAGCTGTGTTCCATGATGAAAGTTTTCCAAGGCAAAAATATAACTCCTGCAGTTATTTAACAGAATTCCAATGATAAATTCTTCGTCTTGTTGGACCGTCTGAAACCCTGTATCATTTTTATTTATCAACTGTATTAAGATTTGTTTCCAGTGATTCCTATTAAATTACTTCAGTAAATTTTAAGAAGTTTTTCAAAAAGGAATATTTGTGTAACTTATAAATAGAACCTGATACTGGCTGTCTCTTTCTTAATATTATCCATAGTTTAAAAAGTAAAACTTAATTATAAATTCATTTAGATCTTTAGTATTTACAGATCATGTAGCAATTGTTTTATGATATAATTAAATAAGACTATATTCTACCTAGTTATCATAATGAAATATAAAGAGCTGTCTAGCCTTTAATTTTTTAAGCCACATATCTCAGGGCCCTTCGAACTTACTATTGAGATTTCTTTATGCAAGTTTAAGAGGAGAATTCTTGTGGTTATATGAACATAAAATATTTCATTTCTTCCCCTCTGAAAGAGTTTATACCAGCATGCTGATATTAAATTCATCTTCTGTCTGGTGTTCCTTTAACCACTCCGTACTCACTATTATGTCTCCACCGTATCCTTTCTGTAATTCTTTACCTACGTATTATTTTCTGTCTCCTGTACTGGAAAGAAAAGCAGTGAGAAGTGATACTTCTTATTTATAAGCAAATCTAAAATTCATGCTAAAAATGAGGGGTTGGGGCTGGAGAGCATCCTAGAAATTATCTAGTCAGAAAACCTCTTCTGATTAATAAGGAAACTGAGGCTCAGGGAGTAGTTTGCAATAGTAATCTAGAATTTGGAAGCTCATGAATTTGAGGCATAACTGGGAATCTGCCTTCAAGCTACCTTTTCTGTCTGTGCATCCTACCTTGTAAACTTGCAGAAATAACACTTTGGCATTAAGTAGAAATTATGTGAAGGTGCACAATAGGAACAATGTGAGTACTTTCAGAAAGATTATGATATGAAAAGCATATTAGAGCTATGAGAAATGATACAGTAAAAGTGAAAATACTCATATATGGTAAATAAAACCTCATTTTAGTAAGTGCCATTAAAACACTGAGTTATCTGGAACTAGTCCATTTTTATATCATAAATATCAGTCTGTAATAATACAACTTTGTTAATGATAATATGATTTTTTTGGAAAAGGGAAAAACAAAAATGTGTTTTCATTTTGTGCTCATTTATTCAAAAAATATTTTGAGAGAGGCTGATTTACACTAGGCACTATCCTTAACACTAAAATTAAAGTAGGAGCTAATCAGATATAACCTCTGTGTTTACAAAGTTTATAGACTAATAGATTATACAGTCAGGGAACTGAATGAAAACATCATGTAATAACCTGTACTTACAGTGAAAATTCTCTTTCCTATTTATTGTAATGAAGAGTTGTGATAGTATGGTCAATAGAAAATTTGATAAAAGCAGAGATTTATAGAACCTATACAAATCTACATATATTTGTATGCTTGGGTTTTAATTGCAGTTCCACAAAATTCATTCTTAACAAACCACACCCATGGCATATGTCCTGTAAGTTCTGGTTATAGTTTTAGTAAAATGAAGTAAGACTTGAAAGGCATTTGCAAATCCATCTGAATGAGAAGTTTTTCTAGATTTTCATGATTTCATTTTAGTCTTTTACAATTGCCTCACTCATACCTAATTTGATTGAATTTTTTTAAGTGATTCACCTTTAACAAGAGTTTCCAAAGTTTCCAACTTAGTTTTCTTGGACACTGCAGCTATCTTTCCTTTTGCATTCATATTTCCTCAGTTTATGTAATATGTAATTAAATTATGTAATGACAACAGTGAACATTCTGGACTGTAAGTGCACAGCTCTTTTGATGGGACTAGAACTGTATAGAAGTACCAGAGAATCCAAAGAATAGAATCCAACCCTCACACAATTTGTTTAACAGCGAAAAGGGTTAAATCTGTCAAGTCCAATAAGTCAAGAGGTACTACATAAAGAAAATATGAGATGTAATTGGAAGGGCACAGGTTCCTGTATGGGTTTCCTAGGGCTGCTGTTACTAAGTACTACAAACTTCATGCCTTAAAGCAACAGAAATTTATTCTTTTACAGTTTTGGAGATGTGAAGTCTGAAATCAAGATGTTAGAAGGGAGCTAGGGGAGAATCCTTCCTTACTATTCTTAGCATCTGGCGGTTGCCAGCAATCCTTGGTGTTCCTTGGCTTGTCACTGTTTCTGCCTCCATAGTCACTTGGCGTTCTCCCTGGGCATCTGTCTTTGTGCCCAGATTTCCCTCTTCTTATAAGAACACCAGTCATGTTGGATTTAGGGCCCACACTTGATCCAGTATATCCTCATCTTAACTTGAAATCATCTGCAAAGACCTTATTTCTAGGTCAGATCACATTTATAGGTTCTGGGTAGAAATGAATTGTGCTGGGTAGACATGAATTGTGGAGGACTCTATAAACCCAGTACAATTCCTAAGCAGTATCTTTGTTTAACAAATATGTATTTTGGCAAGCTATAATATGCAATGACTATATTTAAATGTGTTTTCTGATTCTGATCAATTCATACTAAATATGTTCAAAACTATCAAGCGCTCTAGGAAATATGCAGCACAGTTCCTGACACATATTAAAATCCATATCGATGGAAATATAAATCACTTTCTTTGCTTTCCAAAAACTAATAATTCAGTAGGACAAGGAAGAACAACACACTTGGAATCACACCCTCAGTGGGATCCTGTCAGTCACATGATTAAGTTGTAAATTGTAAAATCTAAAGTTTGGTGCCTTTTGCTGGTATAAATAACTACAGTTCCAGTACTCTTCCATATCATGGGAGTTCCAAAAGACAGGTTCAAGGCTCCAAGTTGGAACAGAGCACTTACAAGCATTGTGAATTACTTTGCAAATTATCAAAGCAGTAATTTATAAGCAACTTACAAGAGAATTCCAAAAACAACCTGTAGGATTTCACTGTTCTTACTACCACACATGTTCATACATATACTATTCAGAACTACCAGCCATGAATCTTAATATAAATACTTAACACAAATGCAGTGTTAGATGCAGTGTTCCCTCCAAAAATGATTCATAAATAACAAATCCACATTTTATTAAGCATAATATTTATTCTAATGTTCTAGCTAAAGAGTTGGAGTTGTAAAATCTAAGAGTTGAAAATGGCCTAAGGGACTCATCTAATCCAGAACTAGATTCTTCATCACCTCTAATAAATGGTCATCTAGCTCAAGAGACTGGCTGCCCATATTTTATATTTGAGCTTTTTCATATTCTAGTGCTCTTTTCATTCTCCGGTTACATCAAGGAAATTACCAGTTAAATGCTAACTAGTTTAATGAAAACATCTTCGTTCCAGTCCTGGTTCTTCAACTTGCTGTTTGTGTAAACTTGTATAATTTTAGACCTCATCTTTCTCATCTTAAAATGGAGACAAATAATAGTTGTGATAATAATCATTATTTTTCTTTAATAAACATAACCATACCATTTATGTTTTGCTTAAACCAATGTTGAAATTCACTTGTAGTCTCAGAGCTCATGTTAAAAATCAAAGAAGTATACCAATCACTTTTCAGATCATTGAGATTTAGATTAAATAAAAATGAAATAATTGATAAAATAGATAATTGATCTCTAAACAATCAAAAAGTGACCGAAGTCTTATAATATAATTATTTGAATGAGAGAAAAGAGGGGGAGACACTTTTTAGATATTTGTGACTTATATTGATTAATGTATAGATTGATTCCTTTCCCGAAACTTCTGTATAACCTTTATTCTGACTCATGAATTGGGTACATAGCCAGAGCTTAGTGAATGCTTGCTGAAAAATAAATCAATAAAAAGATGCGTACATTCACAGCCAAAGTAAAAATGAAAATTCAAGGGAACAAATATATAAGTTCTTAGGTGTTATTGAGGATAAACTGTACTTTTTCCTTCACGTTGAAGAGGGAGACAACCTGAGCATCAAAGTCTTCAGTATAAATTAAAACAGCTTGAGGAATAGGTGATACTCTCCAGGATATGGAATCAAAAATTCTCAAGTTTTGTTTCTGGTTGTACCACTTATTTGTTCTGTGAACTTGAGTGAGTTCACTTATCTTCTCTGACCCTCAATTTCCTCATCTGGAAAATAGGAATAACAAATCTTGCTATGACTAATAAATGAGATGGCATATAGGAATGTTATCTGTGAAATTTAAAATGCAAATGTTCTTGTA